GTGTTAGTGTCTAGATGTTGTGTCTAGATGTTTGTGTCTAGATGTTCGTGTCTAGATGTTGGTATCGTGTCTAGATGTTCGTGTCTAGATGTTCGTGTCTAGATGTGTGTCCAGGTGTTAATGTCTAGGTGTTAATGTCTAGATGTTAGTGTCTAGATGTTAGTGTCTAGGTGTTAGTGTCTAGATGTTAGTGTCTAGATGTTCGTGTCTTGATGTGTGTCCAGGTGTTAATGTCTAGATGTTAATGTCTAGATGTTAGTGTCTAGATGTTAGTGTCTAGATGTTAGTGTCTAGATGTTAGTGTCTAGATGTTTGTGTCTAGATGTTAGTGTCTAGATGTTAGTGTCTAGATGTTAGTGTCTAGATGTTAGTGTCAAGATGTTAGTGTCTAGATGTTAGATTATAGATGTTAGTGTGTAGATGTCAGTGTCTAGATGCTCGTGTCTAGATGTTAGTGTCTAGATGTTGTGTCTAGATCTTAGTGTCTAGATGTTAGTGTCTAGATGTTAGTGTCTAGATGTTAGTGTCTAGATGTTAGTGTCTAGATGTTAGTGTCAAGATGTTAGTGTCTAGATGTTAGATTATAGATGTTAGTGTGTAGATGTCAGTGTCTAGATGCTCGTGTCTAGATGTTAGTGTCTAGATGTTGTGTCTAGATCTTAGTGTCTAGATGTTAGTGTCTAGATGTTAGTGTCTAGATGTTAGTGTCTAGATCTTAGTGTCTAGATGTTAGTGTCTAGATGTTAGTGTCTAGATGTTAGTGTCTAGATGTTAGTGTCTAGATGTTAGTGTCTAGATGTTAGTGTCTAGATGTTAGTGTCTAGATGTGTGTCCACGTGTTAGTGTCTAGATGTTAGTGTCTAGATGTTAGTGTCTAGATGTTCGTGCTTAGGTGTTAGTGTCTAAATGTGTGCCTATGTGTTAGTGTCCAGATGTAAGTGTCCAGGTTTTAGTGTCCGTGTACAGAGGCGTAGCGATGGGGGCAGGGGGGGGCATATGTCCCCGGGCGCCGACCTTACGGGGCGCCAAAATGGGGTGGAAAAAGTAATCGAAAGTTTGAGGGGGGATGCAAATCGAAAGTTTGTCCCCGGGCGCCGGGGAAGGGTCGCTACGCCTCTGTCCGTGTATTTGTGTCTAGATCTGTGTCCAGTTTAAAGAAGAGTATCTTCCAGGCGGAAGATCGGTACAGTGTTGACACACTTCAAATGAATTATTTAAAACGAATGCATCTAAATTTAACATGTCTACTCGTGCCTTTCTTCATCGTGTGATTGTAACAAACACATCTCCCCCGTGTTGATTTAACGTCGTAGCTGGCTTTGCGTGATATATTCACTGATACTTTCAAAACTTGTTAGATAAACGATAAATCAAAAACAAGTTCTCGAGCTCTTTATTGATTAATGAATTAATCGATTTTTCAAGATTGGTGTGTTAGTTAATTTTTCCCCCCGATCACTTGTTTCCGTTATTTAAAATAAGAAACAAAATATCTCGCCTTATAGTCTAAGTCTAACCAGATATAACAATTTTCTTTCAAGTATTTTTTTTCACATTATAGATAATTTTAAATAGGCCTATTTTTAAAACAAGTTAATAAAAAGTCTAGTGACAATTTAAGCGCAATTTTCTTATGTTATCCATAACAATTTTTATTTTTTTGTAAATATCATCCTATAAATATAAACTCCTACACGATGCTCAATTTAAATCATCCTAGGCCTACTCGATGCTCAGTTTAAATGTTCTTAATTAATTTTTTGTGACCGAACGAAAGGATATTTTTGAAAACTTTCTTCGGCAATATTGTTCTAAATTATGGCAGGAATCGATTGGTAAATGTTTCAAGTCGCTAAGTGGTCTAGTTGCCGAGATATGGAGCAAAAACTGCATTTGTTCGAGGAATTTTTTTGCTTTTTTGGGAAATCCACGAAAGAATTGCGGGAATTTTTTGGCCTATGTTCATCCTCGGAACTTGCTTAACATATTTGCTTTTGAAACTAGTCCTCGATATTGCTTCGTTGAGGAGGAGATACGACTTAAAGCTGCGCACATCCATCCATCCATCCAGAAATAACGAGTTAATAATCGCAATTGTCCAGTATGGAAATTGCGCTAAAAACTGGTTTCATCTGTTAGATATGCAACGTAATTTTTTTTTAAAAAACCTCCCATGCTATGTCATGATAAACTTTTTATTTTAAAGGTTTTATTTTTTTAAATTCCAAACATGACAAAGGTTAGCACTGGGGTTATTTTCATTATATGGTTAAATCTCAAGTATCGTTTCCCGAAAACTTAATGTACGAAGCTCTGCGGAATGCCTAGTAAAATACGTGAATTAAAATTAAAATATTTAAATATATTACCTGATTGACAAAGCACGATTGAGCCCATGAGCACGGGTATTCTCCACATTTTGTTGTCCGTGTTTGCTTCAGTAGTAACTAATATCCTCAGAAACGCTTTCTGAAATGTTATTGCCTAATTGGCGTCCAATACAAAATTCGGAGTGGCTTACGTTTGATTCTCTCTTGCCCCAATCTCTTAACGGGGTGGCGTAGCCAGCGCGGTCCCAATGGCGGAGTTCACACGCTGTGAATGGGGGTGTCCGTGAATGACGTCACACTTCTTCAATGAGTCCAGCCTATTTGGACGCTGTGAATGGGGGTGTCCATGAATGACGTCACACTTCTTTAATGAGTCCAGCCTATTTGGACGCTGTGAATGGGGGTGTCCATGAATGACGTCACACTTCTTTAATGAGTCCAGCCTATTGGACGCTGTGAATGGGGGAGTCCATGAATGACGTCACACTTCTTTAATGAGTCCAGCCTATTTGGACGCTGTGAATGGGGAAGTCCATGAATGACGTCACACTTCTTCAATGAGTCCAGCCTATTTGGACGCTGTGAATGGGGGTCCATGAATGACGTCACACTTCTTTAATAAGTCCAGCCTATTTGGACGCTGTGAATGGGGGAGTCCATGAATGACGTCACACTTCTTTAATGAGTCCAGCCTATTTGGACGCTGTGAATGGGGGAGTCCATGAATGACGTCACACTTCTTTAATGAGCCCAGCCTATTTGGATGCTGTGAATGGGGGAGTCCATGAATGACGTCACACTTCTTCAATGAGTCCAGCCTATTTGGACGCTGTGAATGGGGTGTCCGTGAATGACGTCACACTTCTTTAATGAGTCCAGCCTATTTGGACGCTGTGAATGGGGGTCCATGAATGACGTCACACTTCTTTAATGAGTCCAGCCTATTTGGACGCTATGAATGGGGGAGTCCATGAATGACGTCACACTTCTTTAATGAGTCCAGCCTATTTGGACGCTGTGAATGGGGGAGTCCATGAATGACGTCACACTTCTTCAATGAGCCCAGCCTATTTGGACGCTATGAATGGGGGAGTCCATGAATGACGTCACACTTCTTTAATGAGTCCAGCCTATTTGGACGCTGTGAATGGGGGAGTCCATGAATGACGTCACACTTCTTCAATGAGCCCAGCCTATTTGGACGCTGTGAATGGGGGAGTCCATGAATGACGTCACACTCTTTTAATGAGCCCAGCCTATTTGGACGCTGTGAATGGGGGAGTCCATGAATGACGTCACACTTCTTCAATGAGCCCAGCCTATTTGGACGCTGTGAATGGGGGAGTCCATGAATGACGTCACACTTCTTCAATGAGCCCAGCCTATTTGGACGCTGTGAATGGGGGAGTCCATGAATGACGTCACACTTCTTCAATGAGCCCAGCCTATTTGGACGCTGTGAATGGGGGAGTCCATGAATGACGTCACACTTCTTCAATGAGCCCAGCCTATTTGGACGCTGTGAATGGGGGAGTCCATGAATGACGTCACACTTCTTTAATGAGCCCAGCCTATTTGGACGCTGTGAATGGGGGAGTCCATGAATGACGTCACACTTCTTTAATGAGCCCAGCCTATTTGGACGCTGTGAATGGGGGAGTCCATGAATGACGTCACACTTCTTCAATGAGTCCAGCCTATTTGGACGCGGTGTTGGACAAACAGAGGGGTGACAGGCATCCATAACAAGGCGAGGCTCTTTAAAATCCGAGCCGCTGTAACACAGTGCGAAAATGTTTTAGGGCAGATATCTAGCACCAAGACGCGCAGTGAATACACAAACAGCTGATGAAAATTACATGTTGAAGTGATTGACAGAAAAAAAAAAGGCACCTCTCTATTGCAGAGTGCCGAGTAAACGAAAACGAAAGCATGTGGTGTTGGGTGTCATACATAAAACTGACTGCGCAACAGAGTTTCTTCCAGGCATCTCTTCGGGGGGGGGGGGGGACGAAGCCCCCCCGCCCCCCAAAATTTTTACCGCCCACCCCCCCCCCCCCGAACGAAATGAAATTTATATAATTTATATGGAAAATATATACTTTTAACAGTGTCCGCCCCCCCCCCCCCCCCGAAGAAAGTTTACCGCCCCCCCCCCCCGAAAATTTCAAGTCCCCCCCCCCCCCCCCGGAGAAAAAAGTCTGGAAGAAACACTGCTGCGCAAATATATAGTTGTTTACAACTTGAAGCATGTAGTTACTGAAAGGCGTTTGTTTATTTTCCTTACTAGAGAAAGAAGCTTGTATTAAATATTAGTCCGAAAGAAATGTACACTTGTCCTGAAAAAAGTCTCTTAACTTTTTGAGAAAGTATAATTGTGGTTTTATTTTTTCACTATTTTGAAATCTATACTAGCGCGCCAAATTGTAAAAAAAAAGTTTTCATTTTAGTGGTCCATGTAGGGTTTATAAACCACTAATCCTACCCTTTCCCCTACGCCTGTCATTTAAAATTAGTTTTGTGCTAGAACTAGCCTACTAGAATTTTGAGGTTTATGAAATAAAATGTGCAATTTTTAATCTTCGTGTGCTTTTGAAATGTTTTGGAATTTAGGCTAATATTCCCCAATCCTAAAAGAGGAGGTAACTCTAAAAGCACATTTCATTGAAAATACGCTGGCCCATGTTTCCTGTACCAGTTTTTTCAACACAGTTCAATAATCATAACTATTAACTAGTCTAGATCTAGATCTAATAATCCAAGACCGTGTCTTATAGATCTATGATAGATCTAATTAAACTAGACTAGAGATGAGTTTTGACGCCACAAAAGAATTCGCAGATTATGGGGATACAGTTATATTGTATACAGGATACGACAGAATGCTTTCCTTTATTTTGGAAGACGGAAAGACTCACCAGACGAAGTATGGGGCAGTAAAACATGCTTCGTTGGTAGGAAAACGATATGGAACTCGAGTTCAGTGTGCTAATGGTTGGATTTACATGCTCCATCCTACTCCAGAGCTATGGACTCTTTGTCTCCCTCATAGAACCCAAATTCTATATACTACAGACATCAGCATGGTGATATTCAATTTGGATTTACGTCCTGGGTGCAAGGTAGCAGAAGCAGGTTGGCTGGAATTAAAAATTAATAAAATTAGGGGCCTATAACTAATTAATTAATAATAAATAAGATTTTAGATATTTTAGGCTACTTAATCTTAATATATAAATAGGCCTATAATAAATATTTTCTTTTTTTAAAAAATGGGGGGAATGTAGGGCCTAACATAATGTAATATTAAATTATGTTACATGAATACATAGATCTAGACTAGTACATCATGACTACATTCATCATATGATTAATTATTAATATTAAATATAGATTTTGGGCAAAGTTACATAGTTAGGCCCTATTTATTATTATTTAACCACTAATAAATATGAAAATAGAGGCCTATATTTTGAAGACTGCCATGCTAGGACTCCAATTAGTTTAAATACCAATAAATTTTTTGAGACATTTGACATCAATGATGCAGTGGTTGAGATTCTTAATTAAGTTTGAAGGTTAATTTTTTTAAAATATTTATTATACTAATTGCTTAACTTCAGGCACTGGCAGTGGATCCTTATCTCATGCTCTTATTCGATCAATTTTACCAACTGGCCACCTCTACACATTTGAATATCATCAAGAAAGAAGTGAAAAAGCTCGAGAGGAATTCTCCCAACATCACCTGTCAGATTATGTGACAGTTACTCATAGAGATGTTTGTGGTGAAGGTTTCCAGTTAGACCACTGTGTTGATGCAGTCTTCTTGGATTTGCCAAAGCCATGGGAGTGCATAAAAAGTGCTAAAGATGCTATCAAGAAAGAAGGTGAGAAAGAATGTCATATCTGAACTGTATTTCAGAAGTTTCAGTACAATAAAGAGATGGGCCAGGGCATGTTTGCTAGCCTCAGTCTTGCGTAAGGTCAAATCTGTAGTGCGTCCTTGAGACCTCTTAGCTCCAACGGGTTCAGATTCAGGGATTGCGGGGTATGGCTATGATCACAGCAAATTGTTATCTCTACTTCTGCCCTGTTGGCGGTTATATTCAAAAGTTTGTTAATGAATTTAAGAGCTACTAGCTTTGCTAGTAAATACAGATTTTTATCAAAACCAAAGTATACAGATCCTGGTTTATGTTAAGTATATGACATGTACATTTTCTGAGCATTTATATTTGATAAGTATACTTTACCTATTCAAGCATTATAACCTTTTGATTTTAAATAACTATGAATACATTATCTCTAAATTAAGCTAGTTGTAACTAATATATTAATATAATTCCTTGTAATTATAATTTGAACTGATTTTTATTTTCACCCCATCATAGGAGGAAGAATCTGTACATTCTCTCCATGTATAGAGCAAGTCCAGCGTAGTTGTGAAGAATTAATCAGAAATGGTTTTACAGACCTTACAACTGTTGAATGTCTCACCAGAAAGTTTAATGTCCAGAATGCAAAACTCCCGAACATTTTATTGGAGGATCCTCTGCCTGCAGCTGAGCAACACTCCTGTGATGTCTCTGACGTTAAAAAAATGAAAGCAGAAATCACTGCATCACCCAGTGACTCTAAGTCTGAGAAAACAAATGGGAGCTTAAAAACTCATTGTTTTTCTGCTGCTGCTCCCGTTATTACAATGCCAGGTCATACAGGGTTTCTGACATTTGCCTCAGTTTTCCCTGTGTAATCACATGTTGAATGTTGACAATGTAACTTCATTGACAGTGCTTTTACTTTAATAAATTTAACTTTTAATGTTTTATTTGTATTCCTTCTATCTGTGCATTAATTTTACAATTGTTTATTTTTAAAATAATCATTGGAGTTAAAATAAAGTTAATGATTGTTTATGTTATAAGTTGTTAATCAGGCAGCATACAAAGATAACTTTGAAAGCGTGAATATATCTATCAGTATTTAGCATCTGCTGCTTTGAAAATTATGAAGCCTAATGTGACTTTTCTTTCAATGGAGTTGATCAACATTAATGTCTTTTTTTAACAGTACACTAACTTGTATCAACTTGGGAGTTTAAAAACCCAATTAACTACAATTAACATTTATCATAAAGCTTTAGATTACAAATACTCAAAAAGGAAAAAAAAACTCAATTTTTTTTATTTTCAAAAAACATCACATATTTAAACCAGCCCACTGTTAAGAATGCATGGATTAACTGAACAGCATTTGACACAACTTAGCAACAATACATGATGGTCTTTTAACTTCTGGAAAGTCCATATTATATATATATGAATGTTCTTTACAATTCTTTTATAGGAACCCACATATGGTAATACAAAATGCAACAAATATTATTTTAACCACAATATTCAAGGATAAATTCAGCAATAATTATAGATACAAATATTTTAACAAGTAAAGCAATAAGTCAGTTTGTGATTGTGAGTCTCTAAAAATGTTATGGTAAATTTTAAAATGTTCATAATGTATGAAGCTTCATGTTCAAGTAACAAATGTGTGAAACAGCAGAAATAAAACCTAACTATTTTTAAGAGCCAACATTTACTAAACATTTCTTTTTAAATAAATTAACCAATAACTCTTTTAAAATCTTCCTTGCATAATAACTTACTAAGCCTTGAAAACTGAGAGAAAATGTATATACTTTATTTAAAACAAAAACTTATGAAGTAAAGTATTAAAAGTTGATTCTATCATTGTGTCAAAAATACACCAAAAAAGGTAACATTTTTTAAAGGTTCTCAAAGACAGAAGAGCGATTATGTTTATTCAAACACTTGTGCTCTTGTATATTTCAAGAAAAAACATTTATGTAATTTTAAAAAAATAATTTGTTACATAGATAGCAAATGGTGAACAGAAAGCAGAAACTGCACATAAATGTGCGCAAGGGAATCTATTTGATCTAAATAGATCATCATAGACGTCAGCAAAGAATGACTCCATGCTCATTGTAAAATAAAATATTTTTCTGCAAAATATGACAAAATTGAAGTGTATTAGTATACTTTGTGTTTATCCAGCTTTCTGTTATGTTAGCATCCAGCATGTCCATGTGTTTACAGTACATCTCAAGCATGAGCTTTGTATGGTGATCCATCTAATCCAAGACCATATGTGGAAAACTAAATGTTTTCCAGCATCTGCTAACTTGAGAAAATAGTTTTTCAACATAAGTACAATTGAGCTGCTGACTTACATTATCATTTATTGGTTCCATAAGTATTTAAAATATATAAATCATTCTTAAAGTTGCATCCCTATCCCAGATATTTTATGCACAGAACCTGCAATTTAGAAAAAAATTGCCAGTTAATTAAAGTGCTATAAGAAAGTGTGCCTCCAGTATTATAATTTCCCTAGGTAGTCTCCCCAGTAGAATATCAAGGGGAAAATTATACAATTTTTATAGATTTATGTTTTCATGTCATAGTTTTAAACTGAGTGAAACAAAAACCAAACTTAGCCTAAAATACTTTATAATAAGAGCCAGCTTTAAGAGGAAGTAGCCTTCTTTTAAAAGTATCACACACAAAAATTATGAAAAAATAAGCTAATTATTTTACATGAATGAAAATATATATCATCTTATAGGAAATATAATCAGCTAATATGATTTTTATAAATCAAATAAGTGAACTTACTGATTTGCATTATTTATGTCCAAAAAAAATATGACTAAACTAAATTATAGTTAATTATATAAAAAGTTAATTTTTTTCTGTAATGCTAATCTAAATACACACAAACATCTATTCAATAATTTGTACCAATTTATTGAATATTAGCCATCAGAATTTTGATAGTTGGACATGTGAAAATTTAATATAAGACTTACTGCACTAAAAAATAATAATCGATAAACAAAAAAATGAGGCAAACTTTCAATGGAAACCGCCATTGAAGTGCTAGAATGAACTAAAATAGTAATAAGCAATTGGCTAATATCATACTAGAAAGCCAATGCTGTGGCTTCTACTGTCACGGCTGACACCCATCTGATAGATCTGCCGCTCTGTCTATTTGGCTATAAAATATTTCACAAAATTGTTATGTTAAAACACAATTATGTTGATGAAGAGATTAGACACCAATGTTTCTTTTTTTAATAAGAATACATGACAGTAATACAGATTGATTCCCGTTTTTATTACAAAACACTTCTGAGCATGATTGAACTTGAGTTTATGTACATATTTGTAATGAAATAAAAGAAAAATAAATTAAACAAATTATAACAATTAAATCGTTCAATGTAAAGGGATAATTGAAAATGTTTAAATTTTAAACTGAAACCTTACTCATATTTACAAATTTATTTGTGCAGTAAAGAGAACTACATTATAATTTAGTTTATTTAAATCTTAGAAAGTAGACACTAAAAATATTAAGAAGTGATTGATAAAACAGAATTTATAATGTAATGTTATTTAAATAACAAACTAATTTAAAGTGCTCACAAAAAGTACTCAACACAAACTATTGGTATAAAGATGGAATTAAATATTTCATTAATAGTAGGAATATTTTTATAAATATGGACAAAAGCACTTTCCTTATGGGGGAGAAAAAATAAAACCATTTAAATAATTTGTAAGTGAAGCATTTAAATCATGTTATACCACAACTAACATTACCAATATTTTGTGAAAATTAAACGTAATGTATAACTGCTTACACCTTTCATAATTTAATTAACCAAAGACTCACAAATAATTGAAAAGTACTGAATAACCAATTTATGCATTATAAAAATAATGGTTAAATCTTTCAAAAGCTCCCACATTCATCATTTTAGCCCATTCAACACACATCATGGTAATATACAAAATATGACAAATGCTGACACTTTCAACTGTATAATACAGATGATCACAATGTGAGATTATCTTAAAGCGATAATTAGCATCAAACACAAATCATTACAGATAAAATCCAAAGTCAGAATAATGTTATTCTCTTAATTAGAATGTTGAATCAGCTATTAATGCTCAGCATACTGTTTTACTCCATCTTTGAAACTTCAAACTTTGTGTTCATGATCTCTTCATCTGAGTCTAAAGCTGGAAGAACCCTGTTAGACCAGAAATTTACTTAGTTACATAACAGGTTATCATAAGTTTAATTAAGTAAAATTTATGGGACAAAATGTCACAACAAAATGAATTAAGTCATATTATAAAGAATAATACCAGTTATTACAAGAAGTATCTAGCAGTTACACCTTTACACATTTTGATCTCTTACTCTTAAACAACAGTGCACCATACATTGCACCAATAAAATTTCAAAAATTGTAACAAAAAAAAAGACTAAAAAACAAATGGAACAACCAATCTTATAAAAATCTTACTTGTCTGCCAAGGAAGCTGGAATGTTATCTTCAACCCATTTCAAATCATCTTCCTGTTAAATGAGGCGAAAACAAAATTAGCCAGAAATAAACCAGAATCACACAGGAGCCAAAAATATGAGAGGGGTACAAAAATTGAGAATGCTATTTATTGTATGTTTTTTCATTAACATTATTTTTAAGTAAGCATAAAAAAAGTATTTAAAAACGCACATTCTTCTGATCATCATTCAGCTTAGTGGAGCCATTCTTCTGATTCTTTGATCGCATCTTCATCCCCTCTGTAATAATAATTCATTATGCCAGATGTGTTATTTGAATGCCTTTCAACTTAGAAAAGTCTTTAAAAATAAATGAAACCACAACAACATGAAAAATTATTCAAGTTATAAATAAAATTTCAAATTTCTCCCAACTGTTAGAACTTTCTAGTTATCTCCCTCTTACCGTAAGCATCATTCAGTGACTGATCATCTTCTTCATCATCATCTGCAGCATCCAACAAAGGTGAGAAGGCATACCTAACAAGAAAATATGACAAAATGAGAACCTAAAAGGTGGGAAACATTTTCATGATAAAAGAAATCAACAAAGAAGTGATGACTACATATGTTGTTTAGAAACTTTTTCATTAGCTATTTTCATCTAGAAAGTAGCATTGTAAAAATTATTAATGTGTGCAGATCAGAATTAATGGATAAATAAGATACTCCTATTCAAGTTAAACAGGAATAAAATGTTACCTGAAATGAAACATACCTCTGATTATTAATAGTTGGACGCCACAGGACCATGATGACAAACAGTATCACAGAGAACAATAGATGCCAGAAAGCATCATCCATCCACAGCTCCTTCCAATCCTGAAAGATTTGCTTTCTTTAATATGAGTTAAGTGAAGAAGCAAAGTAAAAAAAAACTATTATTGTTCTCCATAGAACTTTTTATACATTAAATCTGCAAAATACTTTTTAAAGAGCCATAATTTCAGTTAAAGGTTTCCTGGATCTTTTGAATGTTAGAAAAAACATTTTTTTTTCATTTTGTAGGACAGTTTCACTTATTTTATTTTTGGCAACATTTCTTTAAAATAAAAAGAACCCTTGTCAGCTAGCCAACAAGCTGTGGCTTAGTGCTACAGGTTGCCACCACTACATTAACCTATTTCAGACAAAGTAGTGTTTCATAATTAAATTTACACCAGTAAACATTTTTTAAAATTCTTTGAGTTCAGTATAACTGACCAAAGAAGGATGATTAATAAATGAATATATTGTTTGTGGGCAGTATAAGAAGTTTTTCCAGTATTTATTAACAGTTATTTCTACACTATTTCTAAGCCTTAGTAATTCTATAATAATAAATCATTATGAAATACTTACAGAAAGGCATTCCTTAAAGCGATGTTGCACCAAAAACCACACCATGTACGCTACAGAGGCTAAAATGGAACATTTTTGAAGCTGCATAATTTACTAACTTCAAAATTGAAATGGCTAAAAAGTTATAAATAATGAACAAAATCTGAAAATCCAAAATGATTAAATAACAGGAAAAAGAAAATTACTAGTGTATCCCGTTATAATGTACAAAATTTCTTCAACTCTTACCTATTACAGCAAATATAAGTGTATTTGTGAAGTGTCTATACAGTGAAAGTTTAACAATATTTCTTCTCAAACGCAATGTTCTTGTTGTTTGCAGCAAGGAAGAAAATATGTGAGAAATGTTAAGGATAAAAAATTCATTTAGATACATCAATGTTTAAAGAACATACTCAAATGAAGAATAAAATGAAAGGGCTTCATTTTTTTTAATCACAGAAATAGCAAAGTGTTTGACCTATCTGAAAACTAGTGACATTTAAATGGTATTCAACTATAAAAATAACCACATAAGTAGAATGGTTACATGACTATTTTTAATGAGGTGTAAACAGCTTTAAAATAACTCAAGGATATCCACCAACAAATGATGGCATCAGTCACTGCCAATGGAACACCTGGCAAAAGCTGCTGGGTAGTTTGGGCTGCTTTCTCCTAATATGGTAAGAAAACAAAATTACCTAAATAGAAAAACTGGAAGATTCACATTACACATTCATAATTATTTCTTTGTCCAGCTTAATTAATCATGATAAATATTATTCAATAAAAATGTTGAAATTTAATTTTTTTTTGTCATACACTGTTACAATAAAACTTTACCATAGGCAGTAAAATCTAGGTACTGATATGTAATAATGTACTAAAAATATCCTTGTTTTAGTGCTATCAAAGTAATGGCCAGCACAATACTTATATTTTTAAAATGTAAGTAGTTAACTTGGAAAATTAAAATACTTCCATTACTTGGAAAATTAAAATACTTCCATTTTAAAAAACTTAAGGTACTTATATTTTAATAATGTATTGTACCTTAAAACTATGAGTTGTTCAGTTAGATTAAACAGTAACTTTTCAATGGTCAAGAGTGTTTCATTTAAAAAAAAAACATTCTTCTAAGCTTAAATTAAAAAATAATGAACTGCTAGATTAAAAAAATCAAAATCAATCTTGTTAGATTTTTAAAAATTTAAATATTGTCTTTAATGCAGCTGAAGTTAATTTTAGAAGTACAATATATTTGAAAACTAGATTTACATTTTTTAAAAAAAAAAAAAAAGTGTATTAAGTAAGTTGAACATACTGTGAGTGCCCTCATACATCCTTCAATAGAAGCGAGGATGAAGAACACAACTCCTACAATCAAAACTTTATGAAAAGTCTGCCCAAGTCTTGGCCTTTAAAATATATACAAATATACTGTCCATTAGGCAATATATAGTGAACAAAGCACATTTTAGAGATTTTACTTATGATCATTACTGAATGAACAAGCTTTTTTTTTACTTACAGATCAAGACCCTGCTCTAATTGTAATAGAGAATTAAAATAGTAGTAATTTTTGCAAGAAATAAAACCCTCTCTTTCTTACTAGAAGAGATGAAAGTGCCAAAACAGACAATGATTTAATAAAACAATTTTTAAAATACTACTTATTTTACTTAATAATCCATAACGGAAAAAATGGATAGTAAATGTGGTTTTTAATAAATGAACTAGAAAATTACAGTCTAAGTACAAACAAAAATTTTATGTCTGTAATAAGTACTTCAAAATAATGTTTTTATCTGAACTACTTTCAAATGACAAATGACTAGAAAAATTAATAAAAGGGTAAAACTAAATGCACAAGTTTTTATACTATTACTAAGTTTATTTTAGAAAACCTACTTGACAATGCCATAGCCAAGACTGACAATTATGACCAGCATTCTGGCAAGTGACCGCTTTAAGCAAGAAACCAACTCAGCAAAGATAATGGCTCCCCTCACAGACTGGCCTGTATTGTTGATGTTCTCATATTCGCCAAAGAAAACAGCCTTCTCAAGCATACCTACAGAAGAAACAATTTTTTAAATCAATTATAAAAATTTCAACATTCTATCTACAAATTAATAATTATTCTAAAAAAAAATGAATTTACCAAGCAGAATAACTCCCCCAATCCAAAACTGTATCCTAAGCAAATCTCGCCAGTTACAAGCTAGTAAAATAAGCCACATTATGCCAAAGCCAATGTAGATCAGCCCCATCACTCCATAGAACTGGATGAAATTAGACAAATCAAATACTATAGTAAAAAAAAAAACTCTAAAAATCTCTTACAACAATTTGAATCAATAGTTTAAAGCTTTTATGTCAATTTAACAACAATTGCAGAAACCAGCTTACAATTAGAAGAGGGAAATCAACTGCTGCAATGTAACTGTTACCATTGCTGATTCTAACATCAACTGCAATTGAAAAATGTGCAAAAAATGTGATAGCATACAATAACATTATTTAGATTTTAAAAATGATACACGCCTAATAGACAGAGAACTCCGGAAAGCTTCTGCTACTTATGTTTTCAAGATAAATTTTTGTTTAGCAAATACAACGAGGAAAGAGTTAGGGTAACATAGTCAACTAACCTTTCAGAAGAAAATCTTCAGGAAAATCTTCACCATGATGAAGATTCAACACGAACAAATAATACCCATCCGCCCATGTCTTAAGCAAATATTGTGCGTCATTATCGATCTGTTAAAAATATAGCTCTTCATATTTATTAGCAGTAAAACTATATAACAAAACATAGCAAGCTTAATAATTTTTTAGAAAAATAATCTTAAGAAAAATGTTTTTACTTTAAGGAGATTAGTAATTGTATAGAAAGGCTATTATAAATTGCTAAGTATGCATTATAAGTAATAATTGTAAGTATATAATAGAAGCATTTTCTAAATGATAAGAAGGTATATACAAGTCACATTTATACAATATTTGATAACAAGGGCCCTGATTATCTGTATATACTTTGATAAGCAACCTACCTCCTTTGAGAAAGCTACTTTTGGGGCAGGTTTCTTCTCCTCCTCTACTTTTTTTTTATCAGCTCCCTCTTCTGTAGCCCTTCGTTTTCTAGCTGCAGGTTTGGTATCACTCCCTTCCTTCACTGTATCAGCCTTTACAGGTGCAGGTACTTCAGTTCCAGCACTCTCTGTTGGCTTTGTTGGCTTCTCTGTCTAAAACCAAAATACTTATTTCAACATGCCTTCATTATTTTTTAACATTTTGTCAATCATGTAATACAACTGAATATTGTTTTGCCTTACAGTGAGCAATGCCTAAAAATAGCAATGTTTATTTTTACCACACCATTCAAATTTCACAAAGTGATACACATAACATTTTAAATGGGTTTTCATCAGTTTATTTATTGTACAATAATTAATAGTTAATAAAGTTAATGCAAACACATCTTTATTAAATATTAGTGATTATTTTTACAGGGTTTTTTTGTTCATGAGAGTTGATTAAAATGTTATTTAAAAATCCCAGCAAATCAATCAATTCTAAAACTACTTTAACATACTTCTTACTTACTGGGGGATCTGTTGCTTCAACAGGATGGGTGGCATTGGCAGCCTGAAACAAAAGCACATAACATTACATTTGTCAGAAGCCTGGTCCAAATATTTTGTTAAAATGATTTTATGGCCAACTGGCCATTAACAAGTAAAAAGAAATTCAACTGCTTACATGTAGAGTAATTCTGTTGTGTTTGTCACAATAGTAAGTGCCTGAACCAGACACATATTCTGTCCTCTGGGTGGGCAATGACTTTTGCCATGGCATTTTTAAATAATAGTCAGCGACAGACTGAAATGGTTTTAAAAAAGTGTTTTCCATATGTAATTCATTATACTGATTTGGAATAATTTCAAATGTTTAAAAATCCACAAATTTAGGTAATCTAAATAAAATAAAAAACATGATAAAAAATAAAATGGGATGTGAAAATTTTAAAACAGTTATACCGAATTAACTTCAACATATTCATTTGCACAGGAAGATCGACGAAATATCCATGAAAGTTTGAAGGTTGTATTAGAATTACTTTCACAAAAAACTGAAAGAGAAAGTTGCAACATTACCAACATAAACATGAATTGAATACAAATCAATGTGCTCCTACTTTATACAGCTATAAACTGTAACAATCATCAAAACCAAATGGTACATACTTGTCACTGACAACTGGCCACCTTTATAAATACTTTTTGATGCAAAAAACAATGGGCTTTCCTGGTAAGAAAAAAAAACAGCAACCTCATTATTTTTCTGCTACTGTTATCCAGCTGCTTGGTTATATATTAATGTGTTTTCATATTTCTGCATCATATATTTTAAAAATTAAATTGAATATCAAGGTACTTCCAGGCATGGCTGGTGTGTTTATTTGATAATATAACTTTAAAGAATAGCCACTGCCTATACATAGTATAGAATTGAAAAATACTTAAGCTTATCCAGATGTTACCCTATAGGATTCAGTAGTAAAAAAGTTACATGTTATATACTTAAAGTTTTTGAAGTGTTTTTTATCATGCTTTCAAATTTAACAACTGATTTGTGTTCATTCTTATTGATTTTATTGTTTTCAATTGTTAATTATAACATTATTTTCAATGGTCTTCACTGATAACTAATTGTTATTATTTAATAGGCTTGATAAGTTAAATTTGTTATTAGCCTTAGACTTACAATACTAATTAGCACTTAGCAAACAAAGTAGATAGACTAGGACATGTTAATGATGTGCACACACTGTGCCGGGGGTTGCTTCTCTCATTGACATCAAGGGCAAGCTGCCTGTCATGTATGCCCATGCTGATGTTTGGAATGTATATTTCTCACTCTGATCAATTTTTATTGCCCTGACATCATTTAAAAGAAAAATCAAATAGGCCTAGGTAGATACAACTCTGAACAAAATATTATAAACTCCATGTAGGGTTTTCAGAATATAAATCACAGTGTTTCTGCACTGCTGAGAAAATAAATGTTTGGCTTACAATAGTGAAACTTCAGGTTATAACTTAGGCTTGATGAAAATAAATAGATCTAGAAATGTAGCCTTTTAAAAAACGCTAAAGTTGCTAAACTGAAAACATTCTCTGAATTAGCAGCATTTAAAACATCATTTCTAATAATATTAAATTTCTGCATTATTTTCAGAATTAGGAGTTTTTTTTTTAAATATTTTTTTTAACACTTGCTAAACTTGCTTTGATTGCAAAATCTAAAAAAAAAACTTGATTTTTATTCATATCAACAATATTACAATAATGGATGTAAGGATTCTTGTCAACTCTTTAACGTATAATATTACAAAGTGACTACGTGGAATGTAGAGCGTTCAGGGTATTTTCGAATTCCCATAAGGTGTCATCCATTTATGACATCCACAAATGTTTTGGATTTTGGAACACCCCCCCCCCCCCCCCCCCCACAAAAATCCACTTTTTTTCCTTATACAAGTCCATATGGGTCCACAAAAGTCATTTTTTTTTCGCCCCCCCCCCCCCCTGTGTGGACGTCATAAATGGATGGCCCATAACGCATCACTTTGTCAGTGATGTCACTTCTCTTTCCCCCCCCCCCCCCCCCCCCCCAATCCAAGCAAATTAAAAAAACAGGCCTATTTTCTGTCATTTTTGTAAGACGAGATCTAGATCTAATACAAAAACAAAGCATCCCAGACTGTGGTAAAAACACTTTATTTTACTAAAGAACAGTTTGATATAGATCTAGCTAGAGCTATAATCTGACCTAACAATAGTTATACTCAACTGTACTGTACTGTTATTTTACAATGACTAGTTTTAAAATCCTCACTATATATTCTATTCCGTTCTTTTTTTATTTAACCTGCGCCTACTATTGGTGTTGAATGAAATAAAAACCTTTAATACTTTAAAATAGTTTTAATTTTATGTCAACATTCAACATTGATTTTTAATTGCTAATGTAGCGGACCAACGCCTTCCACTCAAAAGCTTGAGTCTAGCTGGAAAAAGATATGCATGCGCAATGAAGAGAAACTATCGCCTTCATTTGCAGCGATTTTTTCGATGGTACTGTGCATGCATGTGTTTACAAACATACCCGAACACTAACCCTAACGCAGCTATTAAAGGTCACTGCGCATGCCCAGAACTATTACTGAGTTTTGTATTTTCTGCCGAAAAATCTTTTCAGAGCAGTCACTTCGTAATAATTATTATTGGCCTACTCAGTACCTACTATATGCAGTTAACTATAGTCACTACTGATAAGAAGAGCAAAGACTCAGAGTTCAGACGGTCTCACTCTCAGAGTTCAAGTTCAGATACTTACTTCAGACCAGAGTAGTCACAGTTATCACAGTAGTCAGAGTAATTCAGTAAAAGTAAAATAATATTTTTTTTAAATAAAATAAGTTAAACTTACTGTTAGGCCTAAACAAATTAATAATAAACTAAATATTAAAATTTAAAATAAACATTAAACTTAAAATAAACATGATGATTGTTACTTTAATACTTTGTTACTGTTAGAATCTAGTAGATCTAGATCTAGATCTAGATCTAGTAATAATAGTATAGGCATAGTTTATTTTTTGCAAGCGTTATATGGAAAACTACATTTTACCTTATTTATATTGGAATCCCAAACTCCTTGTTGAGGTTTAGCGTAATTGTAACCAAACAGTATCGCAAATAAGAACAGAGTTGATGACAACATCGTCGCCGCCATTTTTCTTTGACAACAGAGAACAGATTCGGTGTAAATCGTTTACTTGTCTCTCTATTGGTGAAAAATAGATTTTAAATCTCTAAGTAAATAGCCGAGGCCTAGGCCCTAGATTCTAGGGGGGGGGGGGGTCTAGATCTAGGCAAGGCTAGGCCTAACACACAAAAAAGCTAGAATCTAGATCTAGGCCTAAATAGCTTGTTAGGGAGACTGTGCTATATTTAAAAATAAAATAATGATTACTTGCCACTTTCCAAGTTAAGCCCCTATTAAGAAAAAATTAAAAGGACTGATGTAACACGATAGGCTTATTGTTGGTCAATTGGTAATAATATTAGGTATAGTTCTTGCAATATAATGTAAAATATATTTCTAGATCTACTTCCTTAGCAGTGAGATAGACGAAAACGGACATAAACTAACTAAGCTCCTCTAAGGACTGTAAACTTTTTTTTCAAATATACAAAAGTAAAAAAAAAACGTATTTATAACACCTTAGCATCAGGGGCGGAACTACAGTGCCGCCAGACCCCGCAATGCGGGGGGGCCCACGCCATTTAGGGGCCCACGGCCGACCATAAAAAAAAAATTATAGTTAAAAAAAAAATTTCTTGCATTTTTGACTAATGTTTGTTTTGTAGCTGCGGTTGGATTATCTTTATTCTATAGACACCACCCCACGCTCATTTTTCCTTCGTTTTTAAACCACTGTGAAAGCCGAGTCCTCTTTCTCCTACAATCAAACTTATCAAAGATAAGCAAACGTTCAAACCACTTCCATGACTTATTTCCCTTTTTTAAATAGTCAAATAGTGATGCTCATAAGCCTCTTTTTAATAGATTTATACTAAACAAATAAAAAAGCAATTACTTCTCTTTATTATTTTTTGTTAATAAATTACTTACTAAAGAATGACACTGTATAAAAAGAAAATGTATTTAAAATTAATAAAATAAATACAAAAAAACATAAAAATAAACATGACACGAGACACCATTATTTACAGAAAGCTTTCATGTTTTATATTCTTTTGACCGATATAATGATGGAGGCAACGGCAGACATAATATAAAACTGATATTCACAAAACAGACTATTGCACTTACACACATGACATGATGTCGCAATTTGCTAACTTAAAAAAAAATCCACGTATTTCTCAAAACACGAACAGGCCAGCAATAAGTTTCCTATGTTCGTATTTTGTGTTTGAGTATATATATATATATATATATATATATATATATATATATATATATATATATATATATATATATATACACATATATATAGGCCTATATATTTATATAGGGGGGCCTAAAAAAATTTTTTGCGGGGTGGCCCTTTTTTTCTAGTTCCGCCACTGCTTAGCATGTGCCTTAATTCCAACATTATCTATTCATCAGATAATAAAACAAAAAATATGTTGCATAATTTCACTTGTAATGTCAATATATAAATGAATAAAAAATATTACATTTGAAAATTATTTAGAAATTATTTAGGGCCTACTATAGTACTATAGGCTCTATTAATATTAATTTTGATATATTATATCTTTCGACTAATGTTTCTAATAACTAATAGATCTATTTTAATATAATATTCAATAATAATATTCTTTTATGAATATGAGAATGTCAAATTTAAAAGCCATTTAATTAAATTCTGAGTTAACAAGTTTTTTAAATGACAATGTGGCAAGACGAAAAAGGCCAGTAGTGCTAGAAATATCTGTCCGTTCTTTCTTTCCAAATTCGACCAGCGTCAAGATGGGTTTCACTACAACGTGGTATTCACATCCTCGTAGATTTGGAGCTGGGTCTCGCTCTTGGTAACTAAAAATGTGTTACAAAGGCATTTTGCATGTTAATTTTGTATTTACGATTTAAATATTAAATAAAATTGATTACTTTTTCAGCAATAATCGTGTCACACCTTGTCTTGTTTCGTTTACCTATTTTCGATAATGCATATTTACTTTTTCCTTACTGTGGCTTGTTCACTTAAGAATAGTCATTATTTTATGTGTCAATTGTAAACGCCAAACACCACATTAAATGGAAAAATACTGATCTTTTTATCTTTCACCGTTTTTGCACCCTCCTAAAATTCCAGGAGATAGATGTACTACCCCTTCATGACATTCCTAGACAAATCTGAAATAGATTTTCTTGCTAAATCTAAAATTTACTCAAATTTTCAATGTTAGCATGACCACTGAATGATAGACATCCATATTTAATCCATTTGGCACTATTTTAGTTTGTGGGAGAATATTTATACCTGTGTCTGATGATGGAAGCTTCTTTTTAAAAAGGGGTGTTAGGTTACTGGTAGTTAACTAAATACACACATGGCTGGCTAATGGCAATGCTAACCCTTTCCATAACACCAACACTGGTCCTACCGTACGCCTAACCTTAATTTCTAACCGTAAAATTAGTCGTGATTACTCGGGCAGATGAGGCTCGTTAGCTGGGGACAGTCACTCTTCTAGGAGAGACAGCTCCAAAATTTAACAACTGCTGCCTTGTAGTTTGTTCTTGGTTGGACAAATGCTATTGAGGCAAAATAAAAACACGCGCAGTACCATTGATGGCATGTTGTATTTTCTCTTAATTGCGCATGCATATGTTTTTCCTGCTAGCATCAGCCTATTTAAAAGTGGTTTGCAATATTTGTTCATTTTTTTTCAGATTGATAAACCTAATTGCTCTACGGACTCCCAATTCATTTTTTTACTCACCGGGTTGATATTTTAAAAGTTCTATTTTTAATGATGCCAACTTTTAAATTTAGCCTTCTTTCTCCAAAGCAAATTTTAACATGCTTTTCTGGCATATTTAGCCCAACCACCTGTAGCATGTTTTTATAACGTGTAAACCCGCCATTTCGCTCACTGTAAACATTTTTAAAAGTAATTCTAAGGTCTCTGGTGCTAATACAAAAAATCGCCGGAAGTCATTCATCCGGTCTGTACGCTATATTGTTGTTAGCAACCATCTACACCTCTGGGGTAGTGAGCATTACTTTGAATTAGCCACCATTTGTATTACTTGCTAATAAGGGATATCGTTGCTAAATGAAACCATTGCTGAATTTAGTTAGTAATTAAATGTGATATTATAACAATCAGCTTGGCTATGTTTTGAGGCTAAGGGAGTTTGGGACTGGTTAAGTTACTCTACTGCTCAGTTGGTTGACCTAACCTAAGACCACAAATAGAGTATATATAGTTGAAACTTCTGGCCCTCATGGTGGAAAATTTTGAAATATATATTTAAGGATGTGAAGCTTGTTGGCCTATATGTTTGCTATCATGGGTACTTTTCTTAGATCTATGTCAGTCAGTGTTTGCATGGTCAATTATGGACCATCTGGGGAAGGGATCAAGTATAACATTTTCATTATTGGCTAGGACTTAATTTTGTAGAAATCTTAGCAAGAATATTGTTTGAGGTTGGCTGGATAGTTGTAGATATTGCATTTTTTTACATGATGACTGAATTTTAATTATTTTATCTTTCCATTAGCCGAGTCTGCAGTAATGCTCATGGTCTGATTCGCAAGTATGGCCTAAATATCTGCAGACGATGCTTTAGACAGTATTCCGATGATATCGGTTTTAAGAAGGTAATGTATTGGAGTAGATTGTAACTTGCTTAGTTGTTAGTTGGTAGTCTGTCCATTTACAATGTACCCTTTTTATGTTGTTTTTCATTCATATATAAAGACTGTTGTTTCGCTTATTTTGCAGCTTGACTAGATGAATGTCTTCAAGTGTCCTGTGAATCAATTGTGGTCTTTGTACAATGTCTTCGATCTGAGAATTAAATCGATGCTGTCATTTTATCACATTTGGTTGTTTTTCTCTGAGTTTGTATTGTTAGTGTGTGTGCTCCTTCATTTCATGTTGATGGGGATCAGGGGTAACTTAATTTCTATTACTTGCTCTAAATGACCACATCGAAGAGAGTTAATTCTCAGCCAATGTGTCAACTTCAGCAACATAGTCAAATTACTTAATAACTAATTTTGGGGTGTTGGCTGCTTTTATTAAAAGTTCCTGATTTTTTTTTTTTTTTTTTCATTAATATCTGTTACATTTACATAGTTGCATTTTTTTTTAAACTTGGGTTCTGGAATTACCATGATACACCAACATGATGTAGGCTATATCATTTCATTACCCAGAGCTCTGGATTCTAAGAAAAAGATGTCCCATTATCATTATGTCCAACTATAAATTTAAAATGTTCAAGTACTAGAGGTGTCCATCTGTGCTTAACTGCTCAAAAGGGCAGCATCATTTGTGAATTCGACAGTACCAATGCTGACACTGAAAATATTTGCTTTAAAACGCTATCCGTAGGTCATTAAGAACAATACTACCCTACGCCCGCTGTAAAAGCAACCTCCTCTTGGTTACCTCCCCTAAGTTTAAAATCGTTTCAAACTAAATTATCTGTCACTAAAGTAAACATTTAGCGTGAACTACAGCTCACCAGACCATGTTGGGGTGATAGGGAGCGCGCTTACAGCTCGTTTTCTAGCGTCTCCCGGAAGAGAATTATATATATAGAAGATAGATGTTAGGCATAGGGTCTAAAGCATGGGTTCCCAACCTGGGGGTCGCCAACTGGTAGACTAAACTCTACCAATAAATAAAAATAAATATTTAGAAAAATATTTGAAATTCGGCATTATTGACATAACTGGAAGTGGAATAGAGAATAAACAATTTGTACTGTGCAAAGTTGTTCTTAGTCCGGAGTCTATGAAAACTTCCAAACGGTATTTGAGACGAGTCATTCGGAACACGCCAAAAAAGATATGTAATTCTTTCGTCGGCATGAAGCTAGTTGCAAACGTCAGAGACTTGATCGAACAGAACGTTTTCACCAAAAAAACACAGCATTAGTGCAAGCATCATATGAAGTAGTATTAGAAATTGCTAAGCAAAAAACCTCTCACACAAAGGAGAAAATCTCATCAAACCATGTATGCTGAAGATGGTAAAATTAATTCTT